TGCCTTCTTCTTCTTCTTCTTAATTAATGGCTCCTGCCTCCCAAAAGCCTTCGGAGGCAATACGGCCAGATCACGTATGGGATTTTTCAAAATAGAATATGCGATACAGTGGAGTTTCGGCGCAATGTGACAACTTCACATTGCCACAGTAGACGCAGCCTAACAAGGCTACGAATCTCACGGCGGAAGGGCGAGCGGCGTAAAACGCGCCGCTAGGACGGGATGGTATGTCGGGACCACGCGCAGACGCAAAAGCACCGCGAGTAGCCGTGGACAAGCGCCGCGAAAATACAAATTATAACAAACGATCACAGGCCAAACCAAAGCTCACAAATAATCGACAGATCTTTCTGTCGATTCTGGCCTTTCGGCAAAGGCCGAGGGGTTACGCAAGGCACGAGTAATGGCAATGTTGGGATCTTGGGAGGAATCCTGATCGAGGTCATTGAGAGCTAGCCGGATGGGGGAGCAGCGTGCAGTTCTGTGAGAGGGCAGAAAAATATAACGTGTGCGAGATCTTGTGAGGGAGCTCCACAAAGGCATGAAGGATTGTCAATCAAGTTTTTGCGGAAAAGACTGTGGTTAAGATTAAAATGGTTACTCCTAAGGCGATTTAGCGTGGTGATCATGATGCGAGAGAACCGAAGATCATGAAACCAAGGCTTATTATTATGGGTATAGCAATTTTTTAAATAGTATTCGCCCGTGATCCGAGATGTCCTTTCAATATAACTATCAAATGCTTTAAGGTGCCTATTGATGGACGCGGCAAATGCCGCTCGCGGCAGCGCGGCACTTTAGAAGGAACTAGATTCTAGGGGCTTCTGTTTCTGATGCCGCTTGCCACGTGAACGCGGCGTTCGTTGCGTTGACACGGCGTCCGTTTGAATGGAACCAAGAAGACTAGAACTTCTTGAGTGGAACATAAATAATCCAGTTGGAAGACATATTGAAAAAGTGAAATAACCTTAACTTCTTATTGTCTTAGTACCTCAGTAGCACAAGGCTTGTTTCTGATTATAGTTGTAAGGATTGTTTTAACAAGATTAGAGCAAACGATGTTTGCGAAAATGAAAATTCATGAGTGGTTAGTGCAGTGCACTCATGTAATTAATCAGCAGAATGCAGAAGCAGATCGACGTGATAAACTACTCAGATCATTAGCTTTGTTATTAGTCGAAAAAAAGAAACGGAGAAACAAAAAGAAGCGTTTGTGGGTTGCACCAATTTTTCAAAAACGCTGTGAGCATGGTTTTTATCATGCCTTGCTGCCAACACTGAAATTGGAAGATCTGCGGTTCCATAATTATTTTCGGATGTCAGCCACGCAATACGAAGAGTTGTTATCTATAGTAGGTCCGCATCTAGAAAAACAATACGTTGTGCGAGAGCCGATAAGTGCAGCAGAACGATTGACATTGACATTACGGTAGACATTTTTTATTTAGTTGTATGTAAATGTTATCAATTATATTTCATTATATCAACTATTACATTTCAGATTTCTAGCAGCTGGTGATTCCATGTCTTCAATGACGTATCAATATTTGATAGGCTTGACAACTGTAAGCAACATTATTGCTACAACGTACAGAATTATTTGGGACAATCTGTGTCCTGTGGTCCTTCCACCTCGATTACTTGAAAATGACGCGGAGAATCGCAGAAGATTTTGAAGATTTGTGGGACTTTCCACATTGCATTGGGGCAATTGACGGAAAGCATGTAATCATTCAAGTAAATTATACTTTCATTACACTTCTTTTCAGACATTATTCAACTATCAAAAGCTATTGGAAAAAAAATTAAAAAACAATATAAATGGATTCCAATATATGTAATAACCTTTGTGTAATTTCAGTGTCCGGACAATGCAGGCTCCAATTTCTACAACTACAAAAATAGTCATAGCATTGTACTATTAGCTATTTGTGATGCCAATTACATTTTTCGATTCGTTGATATTGGTGCGTATGGCAGGCGAAGTGATGGAGGCATCTTTCGTGAAAGTCAATTAGGTCAACATCTTGAGGCAGGGCAAATGAATATCCCACAACCGGATAGTTTTTATAGAGGAGGACCATTGTTGCCTTACTGCATTGTCGGGGATGAAGCATTTCCATTGAAGTCATATTTGCTACGGCCATTCTCCGGCAAAGATAACTTGTCAGCCGAACAATGCATTTATAATTATAGACTCAGTAGAGCCAGGCGAGTGATAGAGAACTGTTTCGGAATACTTGTTAGCCAGTGGCGAATTTATCGAAAATCGATTATTAGCAGCGTGGAAACTACTATGAAGATTGTGCAAGCTACAATCTGTCTCCATAACTGGCTTCGCAAGAGTAACATCGAGCAAACCAATAACATTTTACCAGGTATGCTGGATAGAGAAACGACAGAAGATGATTACATACGAGGTTCGTGGAGAACGGTTATGGAAGATGGTTGTGCATTCATGAATATCTCCAGATGTAGCACAAATACAAGTGCTCGGGATGCCATGCTCATTAGAGACGAGTTTTGTAAATATTTTAATGACGAAGGCTCAGTGGCATGGCAAAACGATCGATAATATTATAATTGTATATTATATAAAAAGTTATGAAATTTTATATATATATAGGGTGGCAAATTTGCGACAACTCTGATATTACTATATATTTCGCAAAAATTGTTTTACCGCGAGTAATCGTTATTTACCATGTATACCATATGTGCACAGGAAAGAAATTTTAACTTTAAATAATGCAAACTAATTTTCGACTTCTTTTTTTATTTTCCTCGATCGTGCTTAAATAATCGTAAGTAGTTGGCGGATATTTCTTGGTATCTCGGTCCAGTTAAATTATAACTATTTTATTGGAATAAATATATTAATACATTCTTAACTTTATTATAAAATCATTTTTTCCTCTTTATTCTATAAAATTTATTCTATAAAATCAAAATCTCATTTTTTATTAAAATTATTTTCAAGTCATTGCTGTTTTATCATTATAACATATTATTCTCATGCAATGATTCAGTATGCATGAGTTGATGAATTTTTAACATTATTTCGCGTCTGCGGAATTGCACGAACTGTCGTAGCTGATGGGCGATCATCGAAGTAAAGTTGTCAACTTCGTCAAAAACAGGTATAGTCGGCAATGGCAGTGTTGGTTGTGGGGTCTGCAAGGCCTTCGCTATTTGTTTCATCACGTCTTCTTCACAACCAGAACTACTTCGTTTTTTTTTCACTTATAAAAATAAAAAATTTTTGGAAAAATTAATGTAGCTAGCTATAACGATGCTAAGAAGTGAAATATTTATTTTGTATAAGGAGGATGTGAGTAAAATTGACTGGAAAATAAAAAATCGATTGGAAAATATTGCAAATGCAAAGATCAGATTTCGAAATTGTACTACTTTTAATGCGATTTTTAATACACTTTTCCATTAGGTAATTTTCGACTGATAATCGTCGATGCTTTTTACTATGATATCAGGTCGAAGAAAAATTTGAACTACAAGTCCTTGTAACTATGATAAAGACAAGTACACTTTATGAGCAAAACATACCCCTCGATGCATCAACTGTATCGTTGTCTTCTCTCTCTACTTGGGCTGCTACATTATCGTTGCTGAGATCTTCATCAAGATTCGTTATATTTGAAACTGTCCTGAAATACAACGAAATGAAATATGTCGATATTAACTGTCTATTTCAACAAATGCTTATGTAAAGAATATTAACTCTTTTTCCAAAAAAGTGTCCCGTAAGAAGGACATTGAATCGTAATACTGCCACTTCCTACGAGATGGTTTACTTGCTGATCCACTAGGTAATTTCTCAAGGGAGACGATTTTCATGTAACGATCTCTTAAATTTTTCCATTTTTTCTTTACTTCATCGGCAGAACATTCGCCTGTAATAACAAAACCATACATTTTATATATCACTTAAATTCTGATGATACTAAGTTTATCTTTTTTTAGTGCATTTTAATGCACAATTGTCATATTAAAGATTATCATGTGTACAAATTTCAATATACTGATTTTATTTATACACAAACTCAAAAATCGCATTACTTGAACTATAGCTCTAATAATATATGATCACCTACTGTATGTACGTACCATTTGTCACATCAGCCACTTGCTCCCAAAGCTGTTGTACAGTTCGCCTGTCACGTTTCGTTATATTTATTTTTTGGTTCCATAATAGCTCTCGTGTGGATACTTCTGCAATTATTAATTCTTCAAGATTTCGCTCCTGGCTTGGTGTCACCGGCTCTTTGTTTGTGGGAACTTGCTCCATAATAAAAAGTTCTGCTCCGTCAATCGCACTTCGGCGCACAATGTTTCCATCCTCTGCAAAATATTTAAATTGTTACGTTTACTCACAAATAATATATCATTCGTTTTTGCCTTTTATATTTTACACCGACCACTGCGACAAGCCGATGTTTGAGGAGGGCTCAATCCGGAAGCCGAAACTTGTAACAATATTATTGTTGTTTTTTTTTTAAGTAGTTATACGTTTTTTTATATTTATGGACCTTGTTCAATTTTTCTAACTAATTATATGTTTTATATTTATGGAACTAGACGTTACATTAATTTGATTGTTTGACTTTTACATTGCCCTTTGTTTATTGTTGTTTATTTTTATACAAAGAGTCCTTTTATCATTTAAATGTTTTATATTTTCTATCATTCGGTTTTGCCTTTTATGTTTTATTTTTTATTTGTCTTTTATATTTTATATAAATGATAGACATTAGAGTTAATAGTAAATAATAAAGATAATACACATCACCACTTGAGCTTTACTTTTTAATTTGATAGAATTTAACTTGACGCCAATTGTTAATATCACATCTTTTATATAAATGACATTAGAGTTAAGTAAATAAATGATAAAAATAGTACTATTTGGGTTTTACTTTCTAATGTGGTACAAATAATGCATTAATATAATAAAGGTAAAGATAGTATCACTTAGGTTAGATTTATAATTTGGTACAAATATTCTTAGCGTTTTTCTACCTTTTTTTAAAAAAACATAAATTTTAAATAATTTTACTTACCACAATGAGGATACAAATAAAGGGTGTTTTTATCACAAAAAAGTGATGGATAATTCACGAAACATTCGTGGATATTTACGTCATCTTCGCCAAGAATTGTCTCGCACATTCCACATGTGTATACCTTCTGCAATAAAAAATACGTTAGTGTAACATTATTATTCTAATATCTTTGTATTAAAATCGTATTATACAGAAACATAAATATACGCTAACCTTTGAAATCTCGAAATTCACTCCAGCCATCACTGAATCTATTCTTTTGAATTTCGCACAAGTAGCCACTTTTGCGTTGCCGCAAGTGAAGTTGGATTAATCCAACTTCATTTGCGGCAACGCAGGGTGATTCAAAAACCCCTAGAATCTAGTTCCTTCTAAAGTGCCGCGCTGCCGCGAGCGGCATTTGCCGCGAGCGGCATTTGCCGCGTCCATCAGTAGGCACCTTTAGACAGACGCATCCTCGGTATGGAGAATAAGTCGGAGTAGGGAGTCATGAAATTTGATTCAGCTCCCTCTCCTATAGCTTTTTTGTCAGCTAGTTGGTCAGCTATTTCGTTACCTTGAATTCCGCAATGTGAGGGTACCCAAATGAAGTTAACCTGGGTGTTGCAGAACTTCGCCTCCTCTATGAGAGCTCTGATGTACGAAATAATGTAATTGTTGGTTCTATTGCGGAAAACCGCAAAGGAATCAAGAACACTTTTAAAGTCAGAAATAATGACTATTCGACTGAGGTCATTGTGAAGGGCAAAGAGTAGAGCATTGTATATGGCCCATGCCTCGGACGTAAACACAGACGCGTACGAGGATAATTTAAACATAAAATGGAGGTCAAGCTGAGGAGAATAGACCGCTGAACCCACATATGTACTATCATCAACCTTTGAACCGTCAGTGTAGAAGACAATGGCGCGAGCGAGCACGCGCCGAAAGATATCCTCAAAAATCGGCTGGATATTCTGTTGGGGAATGGTATCAAGATTTTTAAGAATATTAGATGGTAGGGATAAATAGGAAACATTCGTACAGGTAGAGTAATATGAATTTTGGCAGGGAGGGCAGGCATAATGAGCATGAGTTTGTTGTATGACCACATATGAAGAAAAACAAGCGCCGCCGGAAAGTGAGTGCCTAAATAGAAAGAGCGGGGTGTGTTAACGACCAAATCGCAAATCTCCAGAAGCTTAGTCACAACCGGGTGATCCCGAAAGAAAATTATTTTAAGAAAGTATTTCGAAGCAGGTACTCAAATCTTTGTTTCAAGAGGGGTTCCCTCGTTTCAGCATGCGTCACATTAATCGGAGTAGAGTTGCGGTACCCACAAGCTATGCGTATTGCCTGATTTTGTATGCGTTGCAGGCTAACTAGCGAACGGTTGTCATTAAGGGCGAAAATAAGAGACACATACTCGAAAGAGGCACGAATCATGGATCTATAGACGGATAGGAGGAGATTAGGGTTGGCCCCCCACCAAGTCCCCTTCAAAGCAGAAATGACCGAGATCGTACGTTTGCCTTTACAGATAACCTGTTCCAGATGATT